TTTTATTTTTTTATTTAGAATAATTATCATTTTAAACCAATATTTAGAATAATTATCATTTTGATCCGTATGGTAATGTCTGACTGGGCCTCGCGCCATTTTATGTTCAACAAATTGGGCACCAAGGTCAAAAAGGTTAAGAACCCCTGGTCTAAACCTCCTGAATGAAAGGCGGCAGACAACACACATTCTTATAAAAAAAATAAATAAACACTTGGCTATTTTAAGTTTTTAAAATCCTGTATGAAAGACACTTTTAATCAACATACCTCTATCAAACGACAGCCTTACGTCCTCGATGTGCTCCGAGAAGCCCGACACCCTGTAGAGACCTTCAGATTTCATCCCTGCAAAAGATTATTGGCAGACTTGTTCTAAAAGCCCATTTTACTGTTTACAGCTGATGAGATCAAATGTGCAGATTGATTAACTGCACCCCACCTCTCAGTTCGATCTCCCGGATGCACATGTCCACCACCATGGGTCGCGTGGTGTTGTGCGCTTTGACGAGCGTGGTGAGATCACAGCTGTAGACCTTCTTTATCCTGCGCAGGTCTGGCTGGCAGTCGCTGGGAACCAGTTTGGAGCACTGTTTGTGTACATTCAACCCACAATCTGAGAGCAGCAAACGGTGAGGTGAAGAAGGAATAAAAAAAAGGGAGGGAGCGATTAGCCTTGGCCTRATGATAACACAATCATCGGGACAGACTACAGACAGCAGCTGCRTCTGTCTTCTCAGACTYGCTGAGAAACTGAATTGTTACAGAKCACAGCTGCAGCTAAGCTGCAGCCAAGACAACAGCAGATATTAGCAGMACGGTCAGGGGTTGTGTGAAAGGCRTTTCTGCTCGTGCACAGCTTGAAACGAAGGGTTTGACTACATGAGAGCGCTTCGTGTTGAAGACGTTTCACGCGGGGTCATCTTAATCACAGAGAGAGTTTGAGAAACCAAACGGAGGTTAGACGGAGTGTGAAGCAGTTCCTCCYGTTTCCCACAGCACAAGCAGCATCTGATGATCTGCCTCTGGCTTATCAGAGAGAAAAATGTGTCAACAACAAACGCTCTGTTTGAGTCGACATCAGCCGAGTCCCCCGGTGAACACATCAGTGGTGAACCTCATGATGGTTTGAAATATTCATTTAGACCTGCTGCTATATTTGATCAGTAACAGACAAAACAACGTGTTATATTGTAGTTGAAACATTACATTTGGTCCTCACGGGAAAACTTTGAGAACACTTGTGGTTGTATTTTGTTTCAGCTTATCATTTTGCAACTCTGTAACAGTTGTGAAAATCTWCCTAAACTAAAACCTGCAAACCTAAAAAACAATGATCATATTAAWTATCATCATTATAGCCAAGAAAGTTAAGCAGTATTGTAATTGCTTGTGTTTTTGTCTGTTGTGTAAGCAAAATGTCTCATGAAACATTGGAKAGATTTTGCTGAAAGTCACAAAAAGTAATAACTGGATGCACATCTAGCTATTTATTGTTTTACAACCAGCACCAACTCAATCAATCACTGGATGATAGCTGTTACTGTARTTACATTTCTGTGTCAAATGGGCACACAGTGACATCGGTTAGAAAACATTTCAATAAAACTCTCAAACATAGGATGCTTGTTTTCATCCTGAAGSTTATTACAAACATTTTTACGAGGCATCACCCCTATTTATTTTATTTTATTTTATTTTTTGGCAGAACATGTCAGTGGTTTTTTTCACTGAGTCAAACTTTTCTGGAACAATTCATGCCCTGTTCAGATTGTGAAAGATACTGTATCTTACTAAACGTGTTTGTCTGCTGCTCAGTTATTAGCAGCAAATATCATTTAAAGGGGCAATATTATGCAAAATCAACTTTTTTGAGCTTTATTTCATGTTATAATGTTATCCTCTCATCAAAAACATGCCCAGAGTCTTACTTTGAGAAGAGCCTTATCTTTGAGAAATCCWGTGAAACTGCGTCTACTAACAGCTTCTCATTTCAGTCCTTTTTGGATTAAACACTGTTGTCACCTGCCCAGGTAAGCTGAAAAACAACTCAAGTTGTTTTGTTCACATGTTGTTTGGTCTGTGTGTTAAGATTTGTAACTTATTACGATCAGTGTGTGTGTGTGTGGATGATCTTACCAGCTGAAAYGTCTTCTCTGAAATCGCTCTGGTTCTTTCGAAAACTTACTTTCTGGTCTGACAGTAAGGTTCATATGTATCCAGAGATGCAATATTCCAAAACCGATCTTGTATAATGTTGCTGCTTTTTAAATTATCATTACAACAAAGCATGCTACGACGCTCCAGCTTGTAAACAAGAGACGTGATGACGCRCTGAAATGGGTGTGACGGGATCACAAGGAGGTTCTTAAAGAGATAGAGGCCAATTTCAAGGTGTTTAAAAACAGAAATGAATAAAAAGTCAAATTTATTTTTTATTTAAACATAAAAACAGCATTTTAATAACAACTTAAGGTGACATAGTTACGTTATTATGGTATAGAATTTAAATATATGCCTGAGAAACACATAATATTGCCCCTTTAAACTTGTTCAAATGTTCTGCTTTGATTCCAGTTTATTGCTGCATGGGCTTTAAATCTGTCTTGTTGACATAACTAGGAGTCAGTGTCTCGTCCAGCTGCTTCACACCAGTGCATTCTCACTTTCTTGTCGTTGTGTACGGACTCATGGCCAAGCTCAACTCTGCGTCACTTATTGACAAGTCGCGTACCAACCTGTCGTTGTTAACTGACGACTTGAAAACGAGGAGGAGGAGCCTGTTCTCATATTTTTTTAAAAACGTGCTACAACTAACTCAAAGCCTAACTATGACCCCCTAACCCCTGACGTAACCTCTGTTGACCTCTGACCTTACTTCTCAAAYCTAACCAGTAACCCTGATCCCTAAACTTAAACCCCGACCCAAAATCGAAACACGCACCAATCAAATCAACAAGGAGAGGAGGGTACCCGACAAGTCAGTCAGTGATGCAGAGGGAGTCTGACCAAGCGTCTGTATATGATGTGTAGGGAGTGAGAATGTGTTGCTCATACTGTAAGGCAATTAGAGAATATCTTGTTAAAACATCCTTTGGTGACATTTGTTTTGGATCAGAAAATCATCGGCAATTCCAAGTTTTCATTTTTGTGTGACTGTTACTGTGATCCCAGGTATTTGTGAGGTAAAATGAACRCTGTGTAGGTCCGACGCTGTTTACCTGAGCAGCGGACGCCCTGGGCAATGAGGCCCCACATGAAGTTGGCACAGTACTCGCACCAGTGTGGCCCTCGAAATGTGTGCACCTGTGGTTCAAGACACATCACAAAACAGAAGTCAGCAAATGTCCAGTTTAATCTGAGGACACCCCCCACACACACACACACATACACACACACTTCCCCTTCCTCTTCAAGGCACTGGATTGTGATGCACTAAACTCCACACTAAATGAGAGCCTATGTGTGTGTGTGTGCGTGCGTGCGTGCGTGCGTGCGTGTGTGTGTGTGTGTGTTTATACAGAGCAGATTAAAGGATTTATTACAATGTGTCTGGCATCTGTTGCTGGGGATATTTGATACACGCAGAGCCAGAGCTAGAGCAAGCCTGGAAGTCAAAATAACAGATGTACGCCCACTCTGCCCCCTAAAATCACAGATACATTTTCAAACAGAGCCACAATTAGGCGCGCACACACCTTCAGCGCTGCTCTGAATAGGTATCGGTGCACTAATGAGTGCAGAAAGCATGTGGCAGGTGGTCGGTGGATGAGTTTTTGTCCTGTTTCAAAAGGAGAAGTCATTCCGATCTGCCTGTTAGCTGAAACCCAAGAAACTGTTGTAAGAATGTTGGGGCACCCCGAGGCAAAGTATCACAAAAGTGTCCTTTGTGGGTTTAAAGGAAACATWACTGTGTTTTAGTTGCTGAACCGTTTGGACTTAAAAAAAAAACAAAAGCCTGAAACAAAAAAAAAATCTTTAAAAGCTTTAAAATCAATGCTAATCCTARCATTCGGCTGTTAATGGGTCGTGTTGTAGTGCAGCCATTAGTTCCCCTCAGTGCATATGAGTGTCAGCTGGTTGTGTTCACATCCAAACAGCAGCACACACTTCAGAGTGTGTTAGGACAGATACACAACAGGCTTACACTGTGATAAAAAAAGACAGTAAATGTTGAAAAAAGCAGCYAATTAGAATATTAAATAAAGTGAAGTGATGTGTACCATCACTKCATGTTTCCATACAATAACAAAAACKACTCTGCATTCGACCCGTCACACATGAGATACACCCCAGTGGAGCAGCAGGCAGCTATATGAGTGTCCGGGGAGCTGTCAGGGAGTAGATGTTTTATAACAATACTGTTAGCTGCAACCTTTTTCACAGCAAGAAGGTTTAAGGTTCACCTGCTGGCTTTTCTGTGTGGAGTTTGCATGTTCGCCCTGTGCACATAKGGGTTTTCTMTGGCTACTCTGGTTTCCTCCCAAGACCAAAAACATACGTGTTTGGATAATTGGTTTAAATGCCAAAGTGTGATGTGGAGAAATAGGCAGCATTGGTTAAAACATTTGCAACAATTTAATTTTGTCAAAACGTAACAAATAAATATCTCATCTATGGGTAGTTTAAAGTAAATATCTCAAATATTAAAGGATTTTTAAGCTCTTTTTTGAGCAATAGCTACAGAAAACATGATTTTGAGCAGAAAAGCCTTAAATTTTTGTCATTTTTTCCAACAAAAATTGTAAAACAAAAAAATATCTCAATTTCCAAACACAATTTGACAGGGTTCCCACACCTCGGCCAACATCAAAATCAAGGACCTTTCAAGGACTTTCTAGTACCAAGTTCCTCAAATTAAAGAACCACGTGCAATGGCAGTTACCTATTGCTATCGCAGAATGTTACCAATTAACAGGTTTAATATCATGTAAATTCAATGAAAAACTGAACAACATAGAAGTTGTTGAGTCAGAAACAATGGCATCAGTTTACCGTAATCTTGAGTTATCCACCGCAACAAATGTACGTTTATTTTTTATTAAATTTTATAAATTATTTTTTAAAAGATGATGAAAATCTGTCGTGTGAATAAAGCATTCCAATCCCCCAAAAACATTCAAGGACTTCCAAAGACAAGTGTGATTTTTGGCTGTTTTCACAAACTTTCCAGGGCCTTGAAATCATTTTTTCAAATTCACAAACTTTCAAGGATTTCAAGGACCCGTGGGAACCCTGATTTGAGGTTTCTTCTTTAAAATCACAAATAAATCCTTGTGAGAATAAGTTGAAAACAGGACAGATTAAATATCAATGGTTTATTCTGACTMAGACAAATTAAGCTATATCTGTGGAACCGCCCATTATGATCCAGGTATCAAAATGTAGCTTAAAAAGCAGAGCTTATGTTATTTTGACCAAATTTGACTTAATCCTCAGTTTGATGGGTCATTTTGTCCCTAAGTGGGTGAGTTTGTCCTGTTTGTTTCTATGTGGTGCTGGGATGGAYTTCCAACCTGTGTCCCGTCTCTGTCCCAATGTAAAAGTAGATGGATGCATGGTAGCAATGAAACAAATGAAAAACTGCTTATCTAAAGAGGGCACTCAATTATTTGTTTCTTTAAAATAAATCTGCTCACCTTGAAGTTGTGTATCTTTTCGTAGGAACTCTGCCTCTCAGGTGTGTCTTTCAAGGCACTCCGTCGCACCAGAGGAGAAGAGATCTGTGGACAAGAGGCCAACAGTTTAATGGGYTTCCACAGAAGAGTTCCTTTGCTCCCCAGCTTGACTCCTAAAGCCAGAGCAAACAGCTCCTGACGCTTTCGTTCCTGTCGTTTAGCCAAGTGGGCTCTCAGCTCCGCTACTGAACCTCCTCTGCCTCCTTCAGCCTCCATGCTCTACTAGTTGATCCTTGGATGTTCTGGTAGAAAAAAAAAAGGTGCAGATGGGGGGTGCTGTGCAGCAGATGCTGCTGGCAGCAGATGAACGTCGCACAGCTCTTGACCCAGGAAGGCTACTGGGTGACAGCTACCACGGAAGCTGGCGCTGCATCTGGTCTGAACCCAGTGGCATCAGGGAGCAAGAAGAGCAGGAAGAACAGGATTGGTGGTGGGCGGCCCGAGGGCAGGCGTGTGTCCCAAACAATGGTCCTCTTTCACACGCCCTGAAAAGAAAGAGACGCAGAGCGAGAGAGAGGGAGAGAGAGAGAGAGAGAGAGAGAGAGAGAGAGAGAGAGAGAGAGAGAGAGAGAGAGAGA